TGGGTATTTGCATAAAATAGTTCTGTGCATCAAAAGAGATTCTTAAGTAATGGGGAAGCACAAAAGGACTGTTCCATGTGGATAAAATTCAAATATTTGAGTCAAATTTGATGTTTCCTGTTATGTGTTTCAAGTTGTGTTTAAGCACTGTAAGGGAACAGTTTAACTGCACTTTATAATCAGTGCTGCACATGTGAATATGAAGAAAGCTTTTTAGATGGATCTGGCCTGAGTGCTCTTTGTCTACAATGAAATAAAGTAACTTGGAGTTTGTCTTCTAAATTCTTCAGTAGATTTGAAAATGTTTTTTCTTTGTAGTATCACTTTCCGGTACTTTTTAAAATAAGTTTGTCTAGAAGATGCTTTACACAGATTGGATCTTGCAGGCTACTACAGTGATGCTAAATGCCCTTGAAAAATTAGTGAGGCACAAACACAATAGTGTAAAATCAAAAGAACTGTACTCAGATAGGATTTCTGATGAGCTGACAAGTCCCTATGGTGAAGAGATGAAAGAGCAAGGGAATTAGTGTTACGTGCTTCAATGGAGGCGTCTTCCTCTCTTCCCTCCCTGCAATGTTTTGTGGTAGGATGGAAGAATTCACAGGCAGGAATTTTGTTATGATAGTTTAAACTCTTATTCAGAAGTTATTCTGGGAAGTTTTCGTAATGAAGCCATAGCGATTTGACTCAGAGCAGAGGGGGGATTTTCAGGTCATAAATGGTGCTACGTCAGCAGCTGGGAGACAAATTTGAACATACTACAAAATGCAACATTTTTTTGCGGGACTTCTAGCCCACACCCTGGGGCTTACAAAGTCCCAGCTGATACAATATGCATACTGTTTAAAAGGTTTGTGCCTTTCTGTGCACAAGAAACAAATGCACATCTTAAATTTGGCATTCACATCTGAATGGCTTCTTTTTCAATAGGGCTGGGTACTGAGTGCTTAATATGGCCAGTTCTTTCTGAGTAGGCAAACAAAAGCTGTTTCTGCTTCGTGTAAATTATCAGTTACAGCAGGTGTTACTTGAAATCTCATTTGTGCCATGTGTGTCTGTACAGCATATGGTTTTGGCACTTAAAAAATTCAGCTTTCATTTCTGTTATGGTTTTTTCATCAGCTTTTTTTTAAACATGACTTAAGAATATGGTAGAGCACAGCAGAATTGGATGGTCTTTTTGTTAAAGTGGAAAACAAGATCATATCTGAAGTAAAGAACTCCCTGTCTTCCAAGGTGGCAGAGGATTGCTAGAAACTAGCTGATGGTGTCTTGTTAGTCTGATAACAGGATGGTTGGTAGTGTTAGAGTTGTTGAGTTAATAGCAATTGGGGTATATGACATTAGTGTTAGTTTTAGAGTTTTTTGGGCATTTGTTAAATTCTCTATAAAGACCAAATCCTAATTTCTAATTCAATTTTTCTTTCTCAAGGTGTTTCTATAGTTTTTATTATCTTTGTGTGTAGCTTTTGTGATAAAAATTAAGATTGAATCTGTTGATTAGTATACCAGTGTTTGGATGTTACAGATAGTAGGAAAAAAAAAAAATTGCCCCAGAACTCTGCCAGGAGGCCAAAAAAAACCAAATACAGTTCCTTTTCCAACTGTGTCTTAGGCTAATTCCATCAGCTGAAGAGTGGTAAAGCCTGAAGTCTTTCTTGAATCAAGGAGGCACATCCCATTTGTGCATGAGTATGTCTGCTGTTCTATGCCTGCTGAAAGCTCTTTCGTAGAACTCCTATGGCTGCTGATGTAGCATAATCGTATGCTAGACTTGAGTATGAAGGACTACCGAGAACATAATACCTCTCAAGTGTGTTCATTTTGTACATGTTCTTATGCTAACATCAGGATGATTTTGTTATTACAGATATGCAAGCCTCTACTTCTGCTGTGCTATTGAAGATCAGGACAACGAACTAATAACTCTGGAAATAATTCATCGCTATGTAGAACTTCTTGACAAGTATTTTGGCAGTGTGAGTTAGTGTCTTCATATTACATAACTTTTTTTTTTATGCCCACAGCACTTTCAACAGCTAGCTGATTATGTTTTTTTAAAAGGTGCATCTAACACGTTTTTTGTTGGTTGCTTGGCCAAACTAAACTAATGGTTGCCTTTATAACTGTTCAAATACAAAATACCAGTAATTTGGGAGAAGAATTGTTATTAATCTGGTGTTAGTTGCTTTGTATTTATTTCATTTTTGTAATAGCCTCACTTGAGGTCAGACAAAATATTATCCTTAGCTTTCTGGCTAGTCACCCAGACTTCCTTCTCCCTGACACTGCTAGTGTGTGAGCATTTCTTGTCTCTGCATCCAAAGGAGGTAGTTGGTTGTGAACTAGCAGGAGCAGTGGGCAAAGAAATGGCAGACATCTGCTTATCAAGATAGCAAACAAACATCTGTAGTAATGTACTTAGCACTCAGAAAAACTGCTGCTCATCCTTCTACTTTCCAAGTCCTTCTGACTAGGAAATGCACAGAATGAATAAGAAATTTGAGATGATTGTGTTTGAATGTTTTATGTAAGGTTGCATGTTCTGCCTTTGGATACTGCAGGCAAGAAGAGAATTTTATGTAGGAATATTCTTTTGCTTCATGAAAAGCCACATTGTATTGACAGTTACGAATTGAATCCTTTTTAACAATGAAAATGTTTTGCAAGGGGCTTGCTGTAACTGTTCTTAAGAAAAAAAAATTTTCATTTTTTTTTTTTCTTAAAGGGTTGATTTTTTTTAATTATTTTTTTTCTTTTGTGTTGTTTGCTTGTTCATTTTGTTGTTGTTGCGCATTTCTTAAAAGGTTACAGCCTCAGGCTAACATCTTGGTTTGGTGAAGCTGTGAACAGGTTAAGTATTGTGAGAGGATATACCTCAATAGATAGTATCCTCCCACTTTTCAGTAATGCTTGGTGTTCTTTTTAGGTGTGTGAACTTGATATCATCTTCAATTTTGAAAAAGCCTATTTCATTCTGGATGAGTTCCTTTTAGGAGGGGAAGTTCAGGAGACTTCCAAGAAAAATGTTCTCAAAGCCATTGAACAGGCAGATCTTTTACAGGAGGTAAGCAAATTCAGCTTTTCTGGCCGAAGTATCGTCATGGTAGACTTGAATTGAAAAAGCTCCTGTTTCTGTTAAGCTTGTAAGAGATGCTTTTTAGCATGCTTAGCATATAGTTTTTGGTTAGTTGTTCTAATTGTGCAATATGATGATGCTCTCTGCTCTTTTGTTTGGCATGTGTATATTGTAACCTACTGTGAGTTTGTTTTGCTAGAGCAAGTAGCTATTCTATGTGTATACCTAGATAATGATAGTTCATGCTGCTTAACTTAGTTTTCTTCATGTGTCTTTAATTTCTTCTTTTTATTAATCAACCATTAGTTTTTTGTCATACCTGATGCATGTTCGCTTCTTTACTGTTTCATTGCTGAAATCCAGAAGCTAGACTCTCTTCTTTGAGACTCGTTCAGGTATAGTTCTTCTTCTAAAGACCTGCCTTTCTGCTATAGGTTGCTTACCCTGGCACATTTCTATCTTTTAAGTTGACAAAGTAGTAAAAGTAATGCCATAGAAACATGCAGAATGAAGTATAAGAACAGTTGTGTTTTCACTTTGAATGCTTTTATTGTTCATTACTAACTTTGAAGAAAGATTGCATCTCTATACCATTTTCTTTGGAAAACATTTGATGGGAAGGGATATAGAAAAACTTAGTATAATTTCCCCATGTTTCTCCATCGTATGCTGGTTTTTTTTATTGGTTTTGGGATGGTGGTGGTGGTTTTGGGTTTGTGGGTTGGTTTTGGGTTTTTTTTTGTGGGTGTGTTTGTTTTCTGGGGTTTAATTTGTGGGGGTTTATTGTGGGTTTTTTTGTTTGGTTGGGTTTTTTTTTTTGTTTGGGGGTGCCCCCCCAAAATTGCTGTAGTCTTGAGGTGAGTGCTAAGGTCCTCTAAAACCTAGATGGAAGTCAAAATTCTAGTGTGCTGGGGGAATCATCAATCTTGTGTGCAAGTCAGTGGAACATCCAGTTTTAACAGGGATGATGAGCCTTAATTTTATTTAAAAGTACTGAGATTCATGGATAAGATTACATATAGATGTAAGCTCCTGTTTTTTTTCCCTCATGCGAACCTTCAGTTTTTTATTTCATCCTGTGAGTTAATTGCTTAATTCTCTTATAACCATTCTGTGTTCCACTTGGTACTCTTTCTGTTGAATGTGGGATTAATAGGGAAACACATAATGTTCTTTACCCTTGTAGTTGTGTTTGTAATCCTTTCAGAGTACAGGCAGATCTACAGCACATTACAGTTCTGGGCTGCCAACAGCTAGTTAGTGTCATGAACAAGGTCAGCCATTACACACAGATTTGCTGCCCTCTTTTTCTAATAAGGAAATTATATGCACTTATTTACGGCTTGTATTCTGATGCAGTTTTTGTTGACCCCTTCTTTAATCTTCAAAGTAATTATCTTAAGGGGAAGTCCTGTCGCAGTTTACAAAGGGGAGGGAAAATGGTTATAGCAGATCAGTTATCTATTCCAGTCTGTCTTCTGCAAATGCACAGTTAATTGTACATTAGAATTAGTGTACTTTTTCACATTCTCACTAGTTTTGAATTTTATTTTCACCATTTTCCTAGGGCTCTTCTAAAGCAAAAAGGCATTCTTCTTCTAGGAATTAATTACTGGTTTCTATCCAAACAATTAACATTCTCTTTTTACACTTAGATTTTACACAAAAGGAAGCATTGCTTTTTCAGTGGAAGACTTTTTCCCTTGCCCTGATAGATTTACTCTGATTATCCTTCCTTTCCCCATCTCTGAGATTTTCTGTTCTCTCAAGGTTTATTAGGTCTTTTCTGATTAAACTGGAATGTAACAGTTTATCACAGTACCACTTTAGTCTTATGTTTGATTTTTATGTATTTCATTCTTGGTTATATTGATTGTTGATCAAGTATAAAACTACTCCATATATCTGATTTTTAGTTTATAAAACCGGTAAAAGTCTGAGTTCATGTTTAAATCAAGCTGCCAATAAAGTTGAACTCTTTCTGTAGAGGTCTGTTTCTGTATCAACTGCTGCTGTGTGCATGCTGAGTTTGATGAAGAGGGCTGTTAAAATAATAGTTTGTCACAACTGGAGACTTTCTGGTACTTTAGTTAATTTCTACTTCCCAGAATACTTCAAAGCTGCTGGAATGAAATGTGGTTTGATTCCAAATGCAAACCATCTCTAGCAGGGTGGCTGTGTGTTTGGTTTTGGCCATGTCAGATCCTAATTATGTGCAGCAAATGGACTTTGGTTTGGCCCTGAATGCTCAGGTTGCCTAACTTAAAAATTATTAATCACTGTTGAATACACAACGTTGTTAATTAGTAATGCTATATACATTAATGTATGAAGCACCTTAAAGATTGAAAGCTGGACAGAATACTTAAGCAAAGGAAGATCATTACAAATACATTAAGTGTCTATTTGTGTGTTGTTAAAAGGAAATATGCAGAGGCATAAATTGCTGAATAGTGAATTAGTTAATACCCTTTCCTGCTTGTATTTCCTGTGGCAATTTTCCAGCATGTACTGTTTCTGAGCACCTACTTCAGTTTGTCATTTAGTGCTGTGCAGTCCACCTACTAACTGGTAGAGTTTGTGTGACTGAAACATACTAACTTTTTAAACCTTCCTCACCTTCACTTTCTTGTTAGCTTTTCAATAATGTACTCATTTAAAATAGTCATTCCCTACAACTCATTTATTACCATCTGTTAACTTACCAATAGTCAGTTGTCTTATATGTTATCCATATCAGTGGTAGTAAAAACTAATTATTCCAGTGTGCTTCCATGCTTCCTTGTAAATCTATTGCTAGAAATACTTCAAAAGAATGCTGTCATGTATCTTGATTGATAATTTTATGTCTTGCTTGCTGTACAAATCTTAACTATTTCACTAGTGATTACAAAGGCATGCCTTTCTGAAAAGATGTGTGTTTGCTTGTGTGAACAACTTGTACTGAGAGAATGGCCAGATGCAGTATGTTGTTGCATGACTTATACATGTGGTGTGTGGAACAGCTAAAAGATAATCCTGTGCATGGTTTCATGATACTTACAGTGCATGAAACTAGGAACAAAATATGCTCTATGCAAAAGAGAGGACCTGAATTTTTTCACTGAAGTCTAATTGTTGTGGTTTTTACAAGTAATTCCATATGGTGCTTAGAAGTTCATGGTCATTTACTGAGCTAAAATACTATCAAGGGTTTAATATTTCTAACACCTAAGCCAGGCAGTGATGTATATATATTTAAAAGCAAATATGTACAGACTCACTCATCTTCATTTGAACAAAGTTCCTAAACTTTGGCTTCAAGTGAAAACTTTTTGTTATTTAACCTATGTAATTTTTATAAAAAATATTTTGGAAATTACCCCCATTTTGTCCACCACTATTCTTTTTTAGGGCACGTATGTATTCCTTTTAATATTTGATTGCAGAACATCTGAAATAATGAAAATTTAAATATTTTTATGAAGTTATTTCAATAAAAAGGCCAACGGATCTGTTGACATATCACACTTGTTTGTTTCCATCACTATTTTAGTAATGATCAAAAATCTGAAAGTGATGTGAGTCTTTTCTCTTAGGCTCTTGCATTTTGGCCTCAGGTAGTATTGACTAATCCGTCCACATGAAGAATAATAGATAGTCTATCAATTAACCTTGTTGCCTTTGCTATTTCAAGACCTCATCTCATCCTGTATCAAGAAGGGTGTTTAAATTGTTAATGTCATCTGACTTGCACTAGATGCTTAGGGTTGCTATGTAGATTTATGCTTCTAGTTTTAGAATGAGTATCTTTGACTGGAAGTAAAAATTTGGTGTATTTCTTGTGCGCACCATGAAAATTATTTCTTTAAACAGGAAATGTGCTAATTGGAAACCGTAGGTTTGAAGGTATACTTGAGAGTGGAGAGATGGTGTTAGGTTGTCTTTGAGATACAACAAAATAAAGGAATGTTAGCATAAGCAGTGACAAAGAAAATCCCTGATACTTAAGCCTGGAGTGAGTGGGAGTAGGAGGATTTTTGTCTGGTTTAGGAAACAGCCTTTGTAAGCACCTGTTTCTTAATAGTTGCCTGAGAAACTTGGCATAATTAATGCAATTAATTCAGTCTTCATTTAATGTTCTTAAATATAGACTACTGCAGTAGACTGCCTTCCTAAGTTGGCAGTGACATTAATTGCCTTGGCTATACCTGTATCCCTCTCAATGTGAAACAAGAATGGGTAATGAAATCCTTATTATAATGAAGATCTGACTGCCTTGATTGCCATCTGTTCTTGATGTGTAACTTCTGGCTTGATTTCAGGCAGTCAGTTTGGTTGATCAGTTCAAGACTGCAGTTCTTAAGACATGTATGTGCTTGATTTTAGGCACAGATAATGATCTGAACTTACTCATGGAAGATAGAGTAAGTTATGGTAGTGTTTTGACACTTTTGTAAAATGCCTTTCAGTTGCCAGTCTCTCAAGGATGTTGGATATATATATAGCAGGAAAGAGGAAGTAATGTAGTTAGCGTGTTTGAGCTCTTGGTTTAAGTATGAAGTGTATGTCTTGTCCATTTATATTGAAGATATTGATTCTGATACACTGATCAGAAATAAAGGGAGCTTGTTTATGTCATTCATTCCAGGTGTTATTTAAGAACCTGGAATGAAACTATTTCCGATTTTGTGTGATAGGTAAAGTCTGTACATAAGCAGAATCATTTGGGAATGTGCATTCAACTAATTACTTTCTTTTTGAGGCATTGCATGTTTTCTTAATTGTGCTGGTCAAAATATGGGTGCTTTTTAGGTAGTATGTGAGGAAATGTGTGCCTGTGTAAGAGGTTTTTTGTAAGGTACTTTGAGCATGGAGTGTTGAGAGGTAGGTTTTTTTCCCCAGTCTTGGGAGTAAAAAGTTGAATTGCTTGTTCTTAGAACTAGCATAGTTTGCCACAAAACATATTCCCCCAAATCGAGATAAAGTATATTGGGCCTAAGTGAAAAGGTTAGTTGCTTTTGTGTTTGTTTTCCCACATCAGTTGAACAGATGGTTATTATTCTTTGAATGAATAGGCCTTGTTTAACTGCTTGGCTACAGTTGTGCTCTGTAACACTGTATATATAATACGCTTCACTTTGTAAGAATTTATTTGCACCTTGTCTTAGACGAATTTGTTTATTTATTGTTCAGTTATGATACGGGTTGTTATTGTGGTCATAAAAACTGTGCACAGCCTCTTAAAATCAGCATTTGCAGGATGGAGAGCAAAGATATACACAGTTACGAAGTGTTTGTGTGGAACTGTACATGGGAGGTACTTCAAAATGTGTCAGTTCAAGTTCCAAGCCTTGTCATGCTAGCATTTGTTCTTTGTATATGTTTTTGTTAATTGCTTTGCTCTTTGTAGTGTTCTGTATAAGTAAAAAGTGATTTAAAATCTTTATAGAACTGCATTTCTGACTTTGTTTATACATATATGTTTATGACTATCTTACTTGTCGTTGACTGTACGATAGACTGATAAAACCTACCAACAGTTCTTTTAAGAAGTTGTCATAGCTTCATAAATACCTAATATAAATTCAGCTAGACTTAAGATGGAAGGAACTGTAAGAATACATGTAGTCAGGAATCATGGGAACACTGCTTCTCTTTGAAACAAGCCTCTGAAGACAACTAGTTGTACATTTTATAGTAGCAGACAGATATGTAAACCTTGATGTCAAAGGTGTTCCCGTATTTTTAATAGATATTTTTGAGTTGGAGTACTGTGGAGCAGGCTTTCCTGCAAATACTTACCAGATCATATTCTTCTGTTCTAAAACAATACGAAAATTGGTCCAGAAAATTAATAGTATAATTTGCATCTGTGTTTTTCTCCCAGGTAAGAATGGGGGTTGGGGGGAAGCTAACTTTTCCAGATTCAAATGTAGTCTTGAAGAAGTGTCATCGAGTACTCAAGAGGTTACTGTATCATTCTTAACCCCCTTCCCATTCTCAGACTGCTTTTTTTTTCTGGCAACTTAAATATTTTACTGGTCTGTGAGTCTTTTAATTATATTTAGAAAAATGCAGTTCAGTATCTTAGTGTTCTTTTTGAAGTGTCTTGCTTTTCTAGATGTGTCGTGATGCTTAGGACTTACCATAGATTTGCAGGCTGTGATTTCTAAATGCTTTAGAAATCTAGTTGTCTTTCCAGAAACATCTTGTCAAATCTTAATCTATCCTTGCCTTTATGATTTGAAAATGATAGAAAGCAGTCTGCTTTTTACCTGAGCAGCTTTTGTTCAGACCTTTAAAATACCATTTTAGTAAATCTGTCTCCATAATACTTGTTTTTCCTGTTTTGTTTAGTGTGTATGCATGTAAGATGTAAGTGATCTTATTCTATTAAAGAAATCAAAATGCTGATTAAAAGTTCTTAAGACTCAACAAGTTGTGAGGAAGGCATCTTCCATATAAGTATTAAGTATTCATTCAGTCAGCTTTGCAAATAGAAACATAAGGAAATTTCAGTAAGTAAGACAAATTAGTGTAAGTGAAGTCCTTGCTGACTGATAAATGATTCAGTACCCTGGCTGGTGTAAATTCCAGTGCTGATCAACAACATCCACTTTGCAAAACTACCTATGAAGTTGATCTTGCATTGATATAAGCAATTCTTGTAGAATGGTTAAGGGTATATTAATGGTAAACCAAACTCCTTATGGATTATAATTCTATTAAGGGTGTATTTATTATCTATAGATTGAACAGGTAGATTTTGCTCCAGAGGTATTCTTCTGTTGCTGTCTGTAGAAGCACTGTGTCAGGGTGATGTGATGAAAATTTTAGCATTGCTGCACGTCATAACTGTTTTCTGGAGCTTAGTTGTGTGCTTTTGGTTAATAAACAGTAAATTCCATGAATAATTGCGGATGGCTGCTTGACAGTAAGGATTATCTTCAAAATTACACACACTTTCTGAATGAGCACATAATTCTGCATTTTAGCAGAATATTTTCCCTGAATTGAGCAGAATATTGGAAAGAGCAATGTTAATGTTTGGACCCTGAAATAGTGAGGGGAAAATTCTGTTTTTGCTAGTGTCTGAGATGTTGCATGATGTTGCAGTGCTCTTACACTTTCCTAAAATCCTTGCTAACCTATGAAGATGGTTTTAGAGTGACACAGAGTAGTAGGTGAAAAGAATATGAATGTCCCCAGGAGGTATCGCCATTGTGTTCATTTTTTAGATTCTCATTTCTTTGTAGTCTTATCTGTATGTTGTACATGTTAGGCGCATTGCTGGTATGTGTTTTGGGGCTTTTATTTATTATTTTTAAGGGAGAAACTATGCTTTTTAATTTTTTTTTTTTTTTTTTTTTTTTTTTTTTGTTGCCAAGCTGTTTAGCAACAGTAGTAGTTCTGGAGATGGGTATCAAGATGCATTAAAAGCATATATATATATATATTAAATCTTAAGCTGAAAATTTGATTTTAAAAAAGAAAAAAAAAGTCTAAGATGACCTATTACTCGCAATTCTCTGAGAAATCTAGGTATTCCTGATTACCAGATAGATTAAAGTAAAAATGTTCAACTTTTTGCACCAAGCACCACTACAGGAAAATGACTGGTTTATACACAGCTCAGCAAGTAACAATGAGGCTTAATAGTAAATGCAGTACATAGCTCTTGAATTTTTTTAGATTACTTCAGGGATGGTAGAGAAGTTGAATGAAATTCTTACTTTCCTTAATGGAACAAATCTTATTTTGATATCAATATGAATAATGATACTGTGTGCAATATAAATCACTGGATTAAATATATGTAAATGTGGTAGCATCCTATTCTGTTTTGCTTTCAGTCTGCTACAATAATGAACAGCTGATCTTAAGTTCTCTTTTTTTAAAAAAGAAAAAACAAACCCAACTTTGAATTAGTACTCCTTCATGCACAGGTGACGCTTTCTCAACAACTCTCCAGAACTTATTATTTTAAGGTGTTCTTTGTCTTGGTAAGAAATGAAAAATAAACTTAAGAGGGTTTTTCTAATACGTCTACTTGGAGCCTTTGAACAGATGTTTTACTGATGCGTATTTGTTGTTTGCCTAAGAATGGATTTTTAGTAGGACCTGATAAAATGATATTTACTTAGTAACAATAGCTGAAACACTTTTGAATGAAATAACTGAATTTAATTTTGTATATAGTTCAGATTATTTTCTAACTTTTGTTTTAAACAGAAATAAGCTCTAAATAATTGGGTGGGTGTTTTTTGTTTTGTTTATTAAGTAGTTGGTATTGCATTTTCACTGCTGCTTGATTTTGTGTTTGTAGAGCCAGAATGAAGACTGGGGAGGTTTGTCTGAGGAGATCTTATGATTAAGAGCAATCTAGGGCATTAGCCCTTTTGACCCCCATCTAAATGATTGGTAACTACCGAGTTTACCATTTTGGTGGCATGGATTAAATGGGTGCTATGCAAAGACTGCTGCACGTGTAATTAAGTCCTTGCAAGGGTAAACAGAAAATGGGTGATGGGCTTAACTTTCTGCAACACTTGCATGATGGTCTTTGAAGAGTGCTTTGAGTGTTCCCTTTCATTTTCCTTTGTTTACTAACCGCATCAACTTGAAGTGTCTGACGACTTCTAGCTTTCTTTGGTGTTGATAATTAAGTGGGATAATGCAAGTTAGAGAAACGGTTACCAAAACTAATAACTAAACAGATGTTTGGCTTTGTTTACTTACAATCAACCCATGTAAATGTGTATTTACTGGAAAATGAGCTTTTTACATCTGCTGTGCAAAGAAAATGGGCCCTAAAAAGACTGGGTGCTGCTGCAATTGACTGTATATCAGGTGCCGGATGCTGCATGACGGAACAAAGCTTTTTTGCATATATAGTGCATTGCAACATATTTTTTGTCCAAAGCATAAGCAGAGTACATTGTGGCAGTCCTACTAATAAAGGTAAGATTTCATTTTACATGAGGCAAGTTTAAAACACATGTGAAAATGATTTGCTGGAGAAAACTTAATTAGTCTGTGGCTTATTTGATACAATGATGAACAAGTAGTTCAGTAAACAAATTGGCTTTTGTAATATGGAACTGCAGGAATAGATCTAATTTCATATGCAGCTTTATAAACATCAGGATTTAGTTTCCAGACAAAAGAAAATTCTTGTAATAGACAAAAATATTTTGTAATGTGTTCGAAATCAAATTCACTGTTGTTGTATGGGTATTTTTACCATTTAAAAGTTACTTAGTATATGATACAGCTGTTGATCCATGTTAGGGAGCAGCTAATAACCCACTTGCATATTAGACTTGTAGAATTAGGGCAGTCAACGAGTCATTTGTGCAAAATACAATCTTTTGTATGAGTTTGGACATACTCTAAAATAGTGATGAGAAAACCTGCATACTCAGCCTTATTTTTTTTTCCCCACAGTTTTTCTTCACCATGTTTATTGCTCTTTTTCCTGTTTATGATAACAAATTCATGTATGAAAAGTGTGGTTCTCATGATCAGATTAGTATTAATACTGTAAAATTTCTTTGTAATTAAAACTTTTAAAAGTATATGTGTTGTTTGGGACCTGTGCTAAACAGAACTTTTGCTTAGGAGTCTTCATCTTTTTTTGTTGTCTTAGCTACAAAAAGCCATTCTGGAACATGCAAGCTCAGGCTTAGAGAATTCTGTGTGACTCCAGCCTCCATACTTGTCTACAGTATGTCTCTGATTAATTCTATGTATGGGCACAGTTTTAGTTGAAGAAATGTGCTTTGCCACCATTAATTTAGGTACAGCGGCATTACTAAATGCGCATGGGATGCTTCTTCCTGGCCTATACTGTTTCCTGGAAGGAGTGAAGGAATAGCTGCTGTGTGCAGAGCTTAGCTTACATGGTTGGCATGACTCCACAGAATATGGAGAAAGGAGGATGGCATGGGACAGATCGATGGTTGTATATAACAGATGGGGATAGTTTGCCTGCTGGAAGAAACTGCAGCTTGTATATTGGAATGAAGATCATCTGTAGTAAAGAAATACTTCCTCAGATAAAGAAGGTTGTCTTTGGGCAAGGGGTGGAGTTTGACGCATACAGCTTCTGTGCTTGGATTAACCTGATATTTAACAGGTTATACAGCTTCAGATTACTTAATCTGTTTTACTCTATCAAGCATAAAAAAGCACTAAAGGAGGACAGTTTGGGGTTTTTCTCTGTTTCAGAGAGATTTGCTTGTAAATTTAAGGTAAACCTTGTATAATGTTGAAAAACCTAGAGTGGCATACAATTAGAGTGAAATTTTTTACTGTACGCTTAAGTTCTACCGAACAGAATTTATGCATTCTATCAAAAGCAGTTTACAGGTGGTAAAGTCGTGAACTTGAGTCAGGGTGCAGTTTCCTCATCACCTAAAATAATAAAAATAATGCTGACAGTGTCTTCTGTTGAGAAGGATGGATCCATTGCTGCTGGC